TGATTATTATGAAGATGAAAGAGAACCGTTAGAACGGGTATGAAGGGTGTTCTAGGGGTGCTTTTCGGTGCTCTTTCACGTGGACATATCGCAGCATGCGACATGTCAGTGGAACACTGTCTAAATTAATAAATACTGTTTTGGCCGATTTCTAAAAGCGTCTATAAAAGGGCATAAGTGCAATGACTCGTCTTTGTAACCCTGCGGCCTAGGCGTAGTTTTTCACGGGGAATCCGAATATCAAAGGTAGATTTATGTACAACATGTACTTTTTTTGCAACATGTACTTTTTCTCTACGGGACATAGACATACGTAAAAACACACGGCGGAGCCGTTCCCGCAATCAGAATTTGTCTAACTCTTCTAGATAAAAAGTTATTCAGCGAAATGTGAGACTTTGTTTGGCATGCTCTTTTTTTAGGTGGTTTTTTCCGGTTTTATGTGCCGCCCGGCAGATCTGGCCTGCAGACTTTAGCAGAAAACTTGGCGCATGTGTTCGCACGACCGCTCCCAAAGTTTTACAAGCATATCTCCAGTAGTTGCTTCGCAATGATTTTTTTAGTGACGCCAAAAAACGCCATTTTCGCGGAAAATGGACACCTTGGACGGCCAAAATCACCACTTTTGGCCATGTTTGGCCCTGCACATCCAGGAAGCAAATGAGACTGCTCCGTATAAAAACTGCCCTAGGGGTGCTTTTATGCGCGCATTCCCGTGGTCAAGTCAGATTTTGGCTAAATTCAAATGCCTTGTCTATAAACACTTTTTTCGACCTAAATTTTCACCTGTTTTGTCCCGAAATGATAGCACCCATTCTTTATTTGCCTATATATCGCGAAGGAGGCAACTTTTTTCCTGTTAAGTATAGATAAAAAATTTAATTCGGCGTTTTAGCGCACGAGGAACAAAAGTCTCCATACAAGCTACCCTCGGTTTCTAATGACTTTTTGAGTTAGGGAAGCGTGGATCTTCTTTTTTTCTTGTTTCCAGGACTTCACATGAACTTCCAACTCAACTCGAATTGTCATCCCGGGCCCACCACGCATCGAAACGACACTTTTCTCGGAACTGGCGAATAAAAAATAGGTCACCAGATGCGCAAGAGTCTGGGATGACAGAATATCAAAACAATAACAGAATCGTTAGTACTTTTTTTGTCACCAGCGCCCTTTTTCTGTTTTCGCGTACATAATCGAGCATAACTTTATCAATTTATACCATATCGACCGATATCGATTGTCACGATAGTGTACTTTTTTTAGGCGCACATGATGGTAAAAAGAACGGCCACCTATTCCCAGCCGTTCTTAAGTTATGCTCTTTTAAAGATTTTACTTTAGAGATGACACACCCTCTCATTTCACTCCATTACATGCTCTTTTTGCTGAATTACGTGGCACAGACGCAGAAAATCATGGTTCGCAAGTCGAACATTTTTGAAGAGCGCATCGAAACGGACATTTTCTTAAAATAACATGGTATACAAAAAGTGCGTTCTTGAGCCTGTAGCAAACGATTTGCATCCATGACATCCCAAAAACTTAAAATAACATATCTCGACTCCTAGAATGAAATCGACGTGAATCCTTAGGGCAGTTAGTGTGTTTTAGTATCATACTTAACACCACAAAGTTTTACGGGGCACTCTACAATACTCTTCCCAAGACGCAAGAAAATGTTCATTTTGGGGGGTCCTCTAACGCGAACTTAATGATAAAATACCGCACTTAGTCCATAAAATACGAACTTAGGCACTATTCGCACTTAGTAAAATAACTTCTCGCACTTAGAACGGGTAATTTATGTAAATTACTTTATGGGTGACTGCTGAGTTCTAACAAAACTGAAAGATACTGACTAGCTGCTGGCGCGGCGGTTACTTTTCCAGCTATAAATAGATGTTAAACGAGTAGTCTGTAACTGTCAGCAGTACTCAATTCCCGTCAATCTGCTGTAGATTAACGGGAATTTTTGTTAAGACGACGTAAACAAAAGCGAGTATCTTTCTTGTGACGGTTTCCTAGTATATGTGAGGTGACAAGTCGGTTACTGAGTGTAATTTTGGAAATGGCGTGTGGGTTTCTAAGATTATAGTTGGTTTTTGAGGCGTTACTTTGCTGTTTAGGGTGATTTCTCGGTCTTATTTTAGGATAAGATTGAGTGAACTCTGGCGATTTATGGTTTTTTAGATGTGTCTTTGTAGGAATAGTTCTGCTGTTTCTAAGACGTGTCTTTAAGACATATCCTTTAAAAATCGTGGCGTTATTATTGCTTTGGGGAAACTTAGAGCGGTTATTTTCGTGCGTGCAGAAAATTGAGGTTGTACTCGTATGCTCTGCATAAGAATAAAGCTTTATTTGACGCATTTTATGCGTTGCTCTGGGTATTTTGCGCTGAAGCGATGTGGAATTGCTGACGAGTGTGTGCTTTCGGGATAGTGACCTGACTGTGTGTGCTTGGATGCGAGGAAGCGTTTGCTGACGTTGCGAGGTGCTACAT